GCGAACGAGCATGAATAAGTTTAAACAGTCGTAAGCTTTAGACATGTCTTGCATCAAAACCCAGAGATCATTTTGTTGACGATTGAATCGTATTTAATATTATCTACGATGCGAAGTGGTTCAAATGTTGATTTATAAGGGAATCCTACGAAATTAAGTCCCTTCAAGACATTATTACGAAACATGATGGTTAAGAGTCTTCTATTGAGCAATTTAATGAGAGTTTGCAGAAGCATTCTAATAATGTGATCGGTCTTATGTTATTTAGATCATATTCCCACAGTTTGGATTTCAGGATCAGATATATAAATGCATGATTCCATCGATGGGGAAGTGTAAATTCTGCAATGCAATATCGAATGATGTACCAAAGTATTTTATTCGTGTGAGGACCCAGATGTTTAAGCATCTCATTTGATACCTTAGAGGGACCAGGAGCTTTACTGTTCGGCAGAGTAGTGAGGACTTCATACCATTCGTCAGCTGTTGGTAAGGCCATAAGATCATTATAAATAGCCCCATTTACATAATCTACTGGCTTATAAGATTGAGTCCAATCATCGGGAATATCCCTTTTCTCATGAGAAATGCCAGTTGCAAATTGGAAGTGGTGGTTAATCGCATTCTTAACATGTGTTTTATCAGTCAAAAGGTCATGTGTTGAAGATGATGGATCGAGACATCTATCCAAAATAATAGTTTTCCTTGAACGATTGAGAACTGAATCAATCATTCGAGAAGGAGCTGTGGCATGGTTATCAAGCCTAGACTCAATTGCTTGCTGAATTGATTTTAATTTGAAAACTTGCTCATGAAGTTTAGTTTTAACTAGAATGCAATTAAGTATGATTTTGGAACAAGATAATAATGTATGGAGTAGGACAATCGGAGGAAGAGGTGGTAAGGATACAAGGTTAATTCTAAACTCATGCGTGAATTATTAAAATTTAGTAGAAGACGAAATCCAATCCTACGGCAAATTATTTGTCCAGCATGCAGTTTTGACTTGCTTAGTAAATTTATATAAGAACTAAAGTTGCGAATATATTTTGAATATTAGGGGTGGCTTCATCAATTTATATTGACCATTGGATTTATACGAAGGTATAATTTGATCAGCTGCTTTAATAATGCAGGTCTGCAGTAAGTCCCAATAAATATTGAGTTTCGTCTGATTAAGTTTTGAGTTAAATTTAAGGAGACGCAATTCACAACTGTTGACTAATCACTCAAGTTTAATTTTGTATTTAGTCCAAAGCTCCTCATTCATTTTGTCATAATCATATACGGTTTTCTTTGGTATATTATTTTTGTTGTTTTTAATGTTAAGAAAATTTTCAACAGTGCATATAACAATCGCATGATCTGAGATCTGTGGTAAAACTGGTTCAGTATTGCAAGTTGTGAAATTGAAAGCTAATTCTGTAGAGGTCCAAACGAAATCAATACGAAATGTTGCAGAAGATGAAGTAAAAGTCAGATAATTTACACGATAATTACTATGTTTTAAAGTGAACGCGTCAAATAAATGAAGATTCTGAAGCGATGTAAAAAATTCTTGGCACCGTTAGGATTATGAGGTCTGTCCATATCTGCCTAATAAAATGATATAAAAATCCTTTGCCATGGCTTCGTTTATAATTTTGATTAATTCTTTTTGTATCTCCTTCCGTTTAACGATATCAGCAGGTGAAAGATAGCAGTTGATAAAATGTAATTTTTGTTTGTTAGGAAATTGTAGATCAACATAAATAATACAGTTCAATCTATGATGATGATAAAAGACGTGGTTGGCTAAGATCGGATTTAAAAGAATGCCCACTCTGAAACCAGTTTTAGGAATCGTCTGGTCAGAGCTAAAGAAACCTATAAAGTTTGAGTGTTCTCTATTAAAGGATTTGCAATGTTGTTGATGAAAATTAGTTTCTTGTAAACTAATGGCATCTATGTTAAGTGAGGAATAATGTTCTAAGAGTGTATGTTGTTTGGCGATATTGGTAAAACTGCGAACATTATGTGAGGCAAAAGATAAAAATGGAGGAGGAATATAATTAAGGAATTTTGTGTTAAAAGTTAATGCATCTTGTGTATAATGATCAGTAGGGACAGTATTCATAATAAAATTAATATTTTTGGATGTCGTTGAGATAACCCTTGACTTCATCATCAAAAGTTACTCCAATCAGAAAGATGTTATTAGCTTGTTCTTACGGAAGCAAATTATTTTTGAGCAAGATGCTTTGAAAGGAACTGCAAGAGTGGGCAAGCGTATTAATAGTTGCCGTAAATGACTTAAGTCTGGATTGGTGCATCTTATTCAGACTGCATAATCCATTGATGATTTTTTGTTGTTTAGCAACGGTGGAGACAGAAACATCGATATGTGATTCAATGTTATCAATCATCTCATCGGAATTCATATTGTGTATCTCTGCCTCGATTGGAGTAACGACCTTAATATTAAGTTGTCGTTCGATAAACTCAACACATTTGACTGTAAAGGCCAAGTTAGTCATGACAGAAATCAAGGTTTCCTCTAAATTCTTGAATTGTAATTTGATGAATGCCTTAAAGTCATCATCATTGTTGGCATGCATCGATCCACCTGCTTTAGTTCCTTTATATACTGTGCCTTTAGGTGTGAGGCAAATAGTATTATCAAAGAGGATTTCTTCGTTCATGTTCAGTGGGACATCGTCAGACCATGAACCAGATTGTGGATTTCGTTTGATTTTAGAAGGTGAAGGAGGTTTGTTTCGATCGTTATTTTTGTCGGGAATGTTGTTATTATTATTATTTTTCAATGGGATAGCTTGTTGGTTATTATTCGTAGATGATGGTGGTTTGGTAATATGGGCAAAGGTAATGTTCGGGTTAATTGCGCCTCTCATTTTTTTTGGTGGAGCCTTATAATTGAAATACTGCGCAGGTTGGAATCTTTGATAAAGATTCTGCATATTTCGGTCAGATGGATTTTTCCTTCTTCGTGGACAATCATTCGCTTTGTGATTAGGTGACAAGCAAATGGCACAAAGTTTGGCCTTTGAGTCGGTCTAGATCACGTGTTTTCCATCTATGGTAAGATTTTCATTAGAAAGAGCAACTTCAAAATTTTCTGCAGAGGCAAAGTAAAAGAATGCATGTTGTAAATTTTGGTAGTTAGACCGGGCCTTGGGAATAACCCAGGCAGTGGCGTCAACTATCTTTCCTATTTCCTCGAGTTGTCTACCTGTCGTGAACATAGGAAGGCCGGCAAGTTTTGCTGAAAATTTTGAACGTGTCAGAGTATCTGCATGAGATTGGTCACACATGTAGACTCTGACCATGTCATTAAATACGAAAGGCCGTAACAATTCTTTAGTTCCATGAAATTAGCGTTTTCAGCGAAGGTAATGATAGCCTGTTACCACATATTCTTTGTTTTCATTGTGAAACGGACAATCATTCCGAATCTGGCAAATTTTGTTCTAATCCTGTGTTCCGTAGAATCCAGGAGAATTTCAATCACCTTGATCGACCTTGCAGAAACATACGGTTATGCTCGTATAACATCGAGTGGTAAGAACATGCAGTTTTCTAAATTGGGTAACGGAACTGAATACGCATGATCTTGTTCTTCTTGGTTACGAAAGGAGATTTTTAGGATGCGTTGTGATTGGTCTTTCGGATGTTTGGCTAATGTCACACCTGAGAACGAATCATAATTGTCGAATAGCATATCGACAACAGAAGAGACTTTTTACTATGGCGACGTTCCTGGAAATTCTTTGAGGGGAAAATATCTATGGAAAGAAGGTTTTTGGCGCTCAAAAGCTTATACTGAGGACGTATTTTTGTCCAAGAAGTTCTCCGATGCGTTGAAACTAGCGTTTACGTTGATAGTGGTAGTAGTTTTTTCTGGGGTCTCATCCAAAGTTTCTTTCTCCTTGCCTTTTTTCGAAGGCGAAGGGTCGACATCCATGGATACTACCGGTTCTGGAGTCTCGGTAGTCTGTTGGGTTGGTGGAACTTCCACAGTTTGCGTTGTATTTTGTTTTTTTGCTTTTTGCGTAGTTAACGGTGAAGACGAACGTTCTCGTTGTTTTTGTTTTTACTCGCTGTTTTTTTGGTCATTTTGGGATCAACTGTATCACCTATTAATTGATTAGACTCAATATTATTTTTAGTGCAATTTTTTATTGGCTAAGTATGTTAATTGTGGTGTAACTATTTTTTAATCATCAATAATTTACTAGTTTCGTAACCCATTTTTAATAGATCAATTCCCATATACTTAATTTTATCAATTCCTATTTTTTTGAAAAACTCATAGAGAGAGAGAGAGAGAGAGAGAAAGATAATCTTTTAAGCACTCTGAATCTGTTTGCATAAAATATTTCATTTAGAATTAGGCTGTGCAATAATAAAATAATAAATAAGAGTTTTTGCCTTTTTTCACCAATTCGATTAGTTATCATAATATTATTATATGATTATTGAATTCTATAACATATTATTACCAGCATAAAATTTCATCTTAATTAGCCTTTGATTTTTCGCATCATAAGCTTTCTGATATTAACAGGCTAAATTTAGCAATATCTTGCTTTTTGCTACAGACAAGAATTTTTCTTATTGGTATTTTTAGTGATAGGAAGTAGTTTTCCATTTATGGGAATTTCAGTCATATAATTTTTCTTAAATGCCGAAGTTGCGGTAAAATCAAATATATCTTTAATAATATTCTTTACTTTTTTCTACTTATGATTGAGATTTTTTTGTTCTAAGAAGATAAGTCCTTGCTATATAATTCATGCTAGAGTTTATTCTTTTTATTACCATCGCCTTATCCTAACACTAACGCTTTTCTTATATACTTCATCCAAAAAATTGTCCGCTTTTTTATTCTCCATAGGTTGACATATATCAGAAATAGGTGCATTATCAGACGTATTTGATTTGATGGCTTTGTAATCTTTTCTACCTATTTAAGATTATTCTCGATAGAGCTGCCATTGGTTCTAATCAAAGATTGTTTGATTTTCATGATTATCATCTAATTTAGCAACAAGGGTTGCCTTTTCTTTATCTCTCTGCTCTAGGTTCGTGAATCTGGCTTCATGTTCTTTCAAAGCATGTCATAACTTTACATTCTCAGATTTAACTTCGATATTCTCAGTCTTGACCTCAGCATTCTCATCCATAACCTCAATATATTTGGCCTTAAGCTCAAGATTCTTAGCCTTAAACTCAGTGATGCATTGTCTCAATGAGCTAATATTTTATAAAAGTTAAGAACTTTTCAAAAGTTTATTAGTATATATAGAAAAATGTGCTATGAAATTTGCGTGATGGCCGTCATGGAAAATTGCCAAGAAAAAATAACCACGACAAAAGTTCACAATCAGAATTACTAATTTATTGATGTAAAAAATTGTAAAAAATAAATTACAAGATTTGGTAATATATAAACTTGTTTTACAAAGTGAAATGGTGTTTCTATACTAATACCTGCTGTTGTTTCATCAATCTAAGCTATCTATATACTAACAAAATATCCCACTGAAAGTTTATGTTCTTCGCCTAATAAGTCCTTGAAATTTCTGAAAAAAAATAGATATTACATTAGCTTTGCAAGCTCAGAGTCACTTCTTTGCAAATGCGAAAAAAATTATTCTTTTGTCCAGTTACTCATACGAACTTAGTGATGCTATAATTTACTTTTTAAAACTCAAAATATCAATAATTTCTTATGTTTGACAATAATTAATTACTTATAATACAATATTCAAAGTGATCCATATGTTTAAAGAAAGAATATCTAAATCAAAAGGGTGGAAATTAAAACCGGTTTCCTCTAGTTTAGATTTAAAACCGGATACAAAATTTGTCTAGCAGAAAAACTGGATTTATTATATCCAAATATATTTAAACCTTCAGATTTATTATATCCAGCTTTATTTAAATCCCAGTATCTTTGACTAGTCATATAAGTTATGTCATAATTAACTAAAAACAATTTATTAATATTGGTTAAAAGTTTACGTTTATAAGTAAATTCTTAATTTAGAAACTCAAAATGAAAATAAAAATGCTTATTATTATTTTTGTTTGTAAAGTTTAATTTATTATTTTATTATTATAAACTAAACTTAGATTTGAATTTATTTATAAATGTTACGCTAATGAATTATGTGAACGTAACAAGTGATAAAGTTTATTCGAAACTAAAAATTTTCTAATTCATTATCATCGTTCTCTTAGAGTGAAGATTTTTTTATTTCTAATTCTTGTAAATTTTTGCGAGTTTTTTTAATTTCTTCTGGTTCAAGTATTACATCTAAATATTAATGGTACAGCTTAAAGCGATCGAATTGAAAATTAAAAAAGTAAGTTGAAAAATTGAAAACTGAAAATAAAAAAAATATATACCAAGATAGCTATAGCTATACATGAAGTCGAAATGAAAACCCAAAAGTCGAAATGAAAGTCGAAATGGTCGAAATTACGTCATATCACATGATTTTTTATATATAGAAAAAATAAAAAAAAAC